CAAGCCCTCCTCGGGCCCAGAAGCCTCATTTCAGCTCAGCTCCGAGCCCTAGTCCCTGCCTGGGCCATGGCATGGGGACCTGGAGCTGGGACGGGGATATGGCATGGGGACACGGAGCTGGGGCAGGGACATGGCATGGGGACCTGGAGCTGGGATGAGGACGTTGGCGTGGGGACATGGAGCCAAGGCAGGGATGTGGCACAGGGACCTGGACCCAGGCTAAAACACATCTGAGGAGCCCTGGAGGGATTCAAGCCATCAAGCAGGGGGTGGGCACGGGTGAGGGGACCCCAGAGCCAGGTGAGGGGACCCCAAAACCAGATGAGGGTCACTCAGGGGAGCCGTGGGGACAAGGTCCTCTGCAGCCTGAGGCTGGGCCACACGTGCTCAGCTCTGGGCTGGGGACAGCCTGGGACAGCCATCAGAGAGCAGTGGGTGCGGGGCTGCCCCACTTTGGGGGACAAGACGGGGGACCCCAGTTCCTGCAGCCCGCCCAAAGCCCCAGCCTCTGGGCTGCCAGAGCCAAGCAGGATCCGTCCCACCGGTGCTGAGCCCTCATAGCACCCCAGCCCTGTCCCCACCACGCATGGGGGGACCACCCAGACCTGGGGGGGGACACCTGTGCATCATCCAGTGCGATACCCACTGCCCCCACACCCAAGGGCCCTCACCAGACCCCGGGCGCCCAACCACAGCCTTGTTTAGTCTGAGGAGGAGTACGGATGGCCTTCGGCTCCTCCAAGCACCCACGAGGGTAAACAGCACATCCCATACCCTGCAGCAAGGACACACGGAGGCCAGGCTGCCAGCAGCGCTGCGGGGGGGCCAGGGAGGGCTTTGGGGACACCCCCGTGCTCTAACCACCAAGGGGGTGGCTGCCAGCCGGGGGGCCGGCAGGGCTCCCACTGGGGAAGTCGGGGTGACGGGTCCCCCAGGTGTGGGTGCGTGCCTTGGGGGTGCATCCCCCCCGCCTGTGCTGTGCCAGCTCCCCGCTTACCCCCTGCCCAGAGGAAGGTGGCACCCATGGGTGGGGGGGCCTTGTGGGAGCGCTCCCTCATCCGCTCCAGCGCAGAGTCCTCCTGCCCCGCTTGTGTGTGTCCCCCCTGAGCCCAGCTCCAGGCTTTCCAGGCTCTCCCCATGCTGGGGGGGGGGGCCAGAAGGGCACACCCCCCCCCCCCCCCCCCCCCCCCCCATGGATGGGGGGCCTGGATGTATGGGTTCCCTGCTGTCTCCCAGGGAAGGGACACAGCAGGTTAGCAGATGAGACCACCCGGGCGCCTGGGTCCCCCGTGCAGGCAGGGTGGGGGGGTGGGTGCTGACAGCCTCGATCAGGGGGCTGAAGCCCCCACCCGCGCCCCGCAGAGGAGAGGGGTGGGGGGTCCTGGGGTGCTGCCGGTGCGGGGACGTGTCCCCAGACACACACCCAGACACAGAAACACCCCCCCGCCGCTGACACCCCTGGCAGGGACCACCCATGCACGCCCATGCACACACGCGGCCTCCTTGCACGCCCCGACACAGGGACCACACACGCGCACACATGGAAGAGGCGGCCGGAGGAACAGCCGGAGACAACCGGACAGACAGACAGGGTGTGTACTGTGTACACACAGGCAGACACAAACACACGTGTGTGCGCACAGAGACACCCACGGACCTCCGGCACATCGCACACGGACGGGCACGCGGGCACACAGACGTGCACGCCCATGTGCACATGCATGTGCACTCATGTGCGTGCATGCAGATGCACAAACATCTGTGTACCGACGCACACGTATGTGCACACATGTGTGTGTATCCATGCAGACCCAGATCCACACACAGAAGCATACATGTGTGTACCCATGCACACACAGAAGCACACACAGAAGCACACACACGTGTGTAGCCATGCACACACAGACGCACACACGCATGTGTCCCCATGCACGCACAGAAGCACACAGATATGCGAACCCATGCACACACGCGTGCGTACGGATGCTCACACAGATGCACACACGCGTGTGTGCCCACGCAGACACAGAAGCACACGGATATGGGAACCCATGCAGACACAGAAGCACACACGTGTGTGTACCCATGCACGCATTCATGCGCACACAGAGGCACACACAGAAGCACACACGCGTGTGTAGCCATGCAGACACAGGAGCACACACGCGTGTGTCCCCACGCAGACACAGAAGCA